AAATATGGGGAAATATGGGAAGTGGGGGGGAAGACAGAAACCCAGGAAATATGGGAAAATATGGGAAATCCAGTTTGGTGTGTATTTATTTGTGTGTCCCAGGGCCCCTTCAATCACGGCGGGAGGCGTTTTTTGCCAGCTTTCGGCCCCAAAGGGGCCCCGAGGATGCGTGTGGGCGGCCCCCCCCCCGTACTCCCCCCCCCTCAATGGGCATTTTGGATCCTCGGGGAGGGGGAACGGGGGAGGAGGACAGGCAAATGTCTCACACGCCTTTTCACCTTTTCACCCCGAGCAAGCGGGGGTCGGCGGATTTTTGCCTCTTGGAGCCCTATTGGGAGGAATCTTGGAGGCCTCTTGGGGCGTCTTGGGGGCCTTCGGTTTAAGTCGGGCATGTCCCTCTACAGGAGGACTATCCAAACATAGTGTAAACAACGTGTCTGGAGATGATTTATCTTGTTTTTTGTTGCCTGTTTCTGAATATTTTTGATGTTTCAATTTTCTTCCAATATCCGCCTGTAGGAGGGCATGCCCGACCTGACCCTTGGGCCATCTTGAGGCCATCTTGGGCGTCTTGGAACGATCTTTCGGCGACTCGGGGTCCTCTTGGACCGTCTTGGGGGCCTTGGGGCCCTCGTGGCCCGTATTGGGGCCTCTTGTGCGCGAAACATTCACGCGACAAACCCCAGGGGAACCGCGGGAAGCCCCGCCAAATCTTGGAATGTGGGGTCCGGGCCTTTCAGAGACTCCACGGGAGTGAGGGCTGAGGCTCATGGGCTGAGGCTTGAGAGGTCAGGCAAAGGACCTGATCGGACGAGGCCCGGACGTTTTTCGGAACGCTCTCAGGGCGTTCCCGAAAGCTCCCGATCTGTCCTCACCTGATCTTGTCCTCGTCCTGGCTGCGTCTCACATTCCCCCCTCGCTCGCCGCCGATGCATGCCGTCGGAGACGCGGAGGAGGAGGAGGAGGAGGAGGAGGAGGAGGAGGAGGAGGAGGAGGAGGAGGAGGAGGAGGAGGAGGAGGAGGAGAGGAGGAGGCGGAGGAGGAGGAGGCGGAGGAGGAGGAGGAGGAGGAGGAGGAGGAGGGAGGAGGAGGAGGAGGAGGAGGAGGAGGAGGAGGGGGGGGGGAGGAGGTCCCCACCCCAATTTCTCGTCGTCCTGGGGGCACGCCCACGCCGCGCGTGCCCCCCTCCACCCTCCCGCGGCCGCCCGTGGGCGCGGAGGGCGGAGGGGCGGCGGCGCCCCGTGCGCCGGCGGGCGAGCGGGAGGGGAGGGGAAGGACGGTCGAGCAGTGGCGAAGCGTCCTGGCTCGCCTACGGTAGGTTTGCGTCGTGTCGACTCGCGGCGACCCCAGCGCGGGCGTTCAAGGTTGAGCGCCGCCGGCGACCCAGAATCGATCGATGTCGAACGATCGGACGTTGCGGCAGCGGCAGATCGTTCAAGGTTGAGCGATCCCTGCGGTGTCAAGAACCAACGCTGGGGTCGGCACGACACGAACCTGCCGTACAGCCCTACCAAACAATGTTCTCAGAACCTCTTGTGGTTCCCAGGAGAAGTTCTCATAACATTTCTGGCCGGGACCGTCTTGTTTTATTCCATCGGGTCTGTGTTCTGAGAACAGTGTTTCTGTTCTTGGAGCATTCTGGGGTTCTAAGAGCATCTCGTGGTAGGACTATAGGAATGCCGGGACGGCCGGTCCCTGCTCAAGACGGGGGCATCGCCAGAGGTCTTCTTTGAAGTCGGGCGTGTCCCTCCTACTGGAAAAGTGCGCACACATAGTTTATCGTCTGGGGACGATGTTTTTGGTCATGGCTCGACGATTTTTCCCAACCATCCTGTGGTGTTGGGTCCTCGTTTTGAAGAGACAGCGCCCCGCGTTCACTCCTCCCGCTGCCCCCTCCCTCCTCCCTCCTCCCTAGCGCCCAGTGCAGCATTTCGTTGCCCCATAGGGAGCTCCACCGAAGGCTCCAGGGGCAGGGTTCGCATGGCGGCCCCGCCCCATTTCGACACACCCCTCACACGGTTCGTGGCCCCATAGGGAGCTCCACCAAAGGCCCCAGTGGCAGGGTTCGCATGGCGGCCCCGCCCTATTTCGGTACATCCCTCACAAGCTTCGTGGCCCGACAGGGAGCTCCACCAACGGCCCCAGTGGCAGGGTTCGCATGGCGGCCCCGCCCCATTTCGACACCCCTCACGCGTCTCGTGGCCCCATAGGGAGCTCCACCGAAGGCTCCAGGGGCAGGGTTCGCATGGCGGCCCCGCCCCAGTTCGGCGCACCCCTCACACGGTTCGTGGCCCCATAGGGAGCTCCACCGAAGGCTCCAGGGGCAGGGTTCGCATGGCGGCCCCGCCCCATTTCGGCGCACCCCTCACGCGTCTCGTGGTCCTATAGGGAGCTCCACCAAAGGCCCCAGTGGCAGGGTTCGCATGGCGGCCCCGCCCCAGTTCGGCGCACCCCTCACGCGTTTCGTGGCCCCATAGGGAGCTTCACCGCAGGCGGAGTGGCAGGGTTCTCCTGGCGGCCCCGCCCCATTTCGACATACCCCTCACACGTTTCGTGGCCCCATAGGGAGCTCCACCGAATGCTGCATTCATAATGCGGTACCCCCGACTGCAGATGGTTGGGATCTTCGCCGGGCTAATTGAATTTTTTTGTGGACTATAACTGATTTTTCTTCCAAGATCCGCCTGTAGGAGGACATGCCCGACCTAAGCCTTCTTTGCCCCTTCCCTACCGTCCCTCCGTCGGTGCATCCTCCCCTTCTTTGGGATACCGTTCCTGGAAGGTTACAAATTCTGTATCGGCGGCGGCGCCAGTCTTGTCGCGGTCGATCACCGGCCTGCTCTAGACTAGTCCGGCTCAGTCGGGCTTGATCCCGCTTGATCCCGCTGAATCCGGCTTCATCCCGCTCAATCCGAGGCTTAATTTCGCAGGCCTCAAGGTTGACACCGACGCCAAGATCGGCGGTGTGCCTCTACCGAGGGAAGACGATCCCGATCTCGATGATGGTGGTTATATTCTGGCTTCCTAGGTGACCGAAATATTACCACCAACACCGAAATCTAGGATCATATTCCCCATGTGGAGGCAACCCCCTGTGCTGGTGTTGGTGTCACTTTTCAGACCTCCAATAATTTGGCGCCTAATCCGGTGAAGTGGCCCTCTGATCGGGCTTGATTGCTCTTAATCGTTTCAACGAAGACTTCACAGGCGTTGCCTCCTAACCCTGGGCTGACTCGGTCCCATCAGTTTGGGCGACACCTGCCCGTTGCAGTCCCTTGGTCGGGCGCCGGGGGTGACGCGCCCTGGCGCAGAGATGACCTCGCCTCGCTCTTTGTCATGGCATCGCTCGGACGTGTGCATTTTTTCTCCGTGTCCCTCGGCCACGATGTGGTGCATGTTTGTCCCTCGGACGTGGTGCATTTTTCCGACGCTCGCTCCCCCGCCCATCCTCCTTCCGTGTCCCCCTCCGCTGGGCGTTCTCAGGAAAGATAACGTGGGCGATGGCCAGAGACTGGTAATGAAGCTACGGATAGGTGCAGTAGGACGAGGGAGGCGGCGGCGGCGGAGGCGGCGGAGGTGGAGGAGGAGGAGGACAAGGGAGGAGGAGGAGGAGGAGGAGGAGGAGGATGTGGAGGAGTAACAATGGGATGAAGACGCTGACAACGATGTTGTTAAAGCCAACCATGATGATGACGCTGCTGCTGCTGCTGCTGCTGCTGCTGCTGCTGCTGCTCCCGATGCTGCTGCTGCTGATGATGATGACGATGATGCTGATGATGATGCTGATGCTGATGCTAACGCTGATTTTGGTGTTGATGATGATGATGCTGATGATGGCGATGATGGCGATGATGGCGATGATGATGATGCTGATGCTGATGCTGCTGACGATGATGATGATGATGATGATGCGTTGATGAAGATGATGTTGATGGTGATGGTGGTGATGATGACGATGCTGCTGATGATTACGCTGATGCTGACGTTGCTAACGCTGATGATGATGACAACGCTGATGATGACGATGCTGACACTGCAGATTATGGTGATGATGATGATGCTGCTGCTGATGATGATGATGATGATGATCATGATGATGCTGCTGATGATGATGATGCTGATGATGATGGCGATGCTAATGCTGATGACGGTGATGATGATGATGCTGCTACTGCTGCTGATCATGCTGATCATAATTTTAAGTCGTAGTAATACTATGATTACGATGCTGCTTCTGCTGATTATGATGACGATTATGGCGGTGCTGATGATGATGCTTATTGTGATGACGATGATAACGATGACGATGGTGATGCCGCTGCTGCTGATAATGATGATGATTCTGATGATATTGATTAGGATCACGAGGACGATGATGACGATGATGATAATATCGATGATGATTCTGATGATTATGACGATGATGATTATGATGATGCTGATGATGATGATGATGATGATGATGAGGATGAGGATGAGGATGAGGATGAGGATGAGGATGAGGATGAGGATGATGATGATGATGATGATGATGATGATGAGGATGAGGATGATGATGATGATGATGATGATGATGATGATTGATGATGATGATGATGATGATGATGATGATGATGATGATGATGATGATGATGATGAGGAGGAGGAGGAGGAGGAGGAGGAGGAGGAGGATGCTGATGATGATCATGATGCTGGTGGTGGTGGTGATGATGATTATGATGATGCTGTTGATGATGATAAACAGGTGGATGAGGATGAGCAGGAGGAGAAGGAGGAGGAGGAGGAGGAGGAGGAGGTGGATATCGAGGAGGAGAAGGAGGAGAAGGAGGAGAAGGAGGAGAAGGAGGAGGAGGGATAATGCGGCAGATGTGGGGAAAAGAACCCCAGATCTGATAGAGTCAGAGCACTCGCTTTCCATGTTCTTTTGCGACATGGCATTTGGCAGCTGTTTCTCTGTTATGCTCGCTGGGCGCGCTCGCGTCAAGGTCGACCGGCGTGTGATGGACGTTGACTTTTTCAGCGGCGTGGCGCTCACAAAGGCCAGCCTCTTGTCTTCCACCACCCCATCGCGCCCATAAAGGGGAGCCAAAACACCTCCCTCGTGTTAGAGATTCCCTGCACTCCTGCGTTGAGGGCCGTTCGGAGAATTGTTCGTGGACCTTGGTGGAGGGCTGGTGCATGTCGGCCCTTCGACTTGCGTGGCAGGCCCATGGACAGTGATGTCTCGTTTTACGGAGCGGTGTGCTTCAACGTTTCGCGCACGTGCTCCCTTGCTGTGTCATTCATGCTGCCTGTCTCGGCGCTGGATGTAGACAATGTTCCCGCTGTGTCGCAGTGTTGCCCAGGGTCGCATTGCTTCGTTTCCTTCCCGCGCATGTGCAAGCCTCTGTCCATGCAGTAGCACTCCAGCAGCTCTACCGTTGAAAGCTCTCCTGTCCTGGTCGCCGACGTAGTACCTGAACACTCGCAATTGCACGGCGCGTGCTCAGTGTTGTGTGCTCCTTGTGGTTAGTAAATGTACCACGATGCAGCTGAATTTGAGCGAGCAGGTATAGTTAATGTATATACATACATGTATATATGTATATATATATATATATTCCCAACCATCCTGTGGTGTTGGGTCTTCGTTTTGAAGAGACGGTCCCCGCGTTCTCCTCCTTCCTCCCTTCTCCCCCCCTATCCTCCTCCCTCCCTGCGTCCCACCCACCTAGTACAGCGTTTCGTGGCCCCATGGGGAGCTCCACCGAAGCCCCCAGTGTACTCAGCACAGCGTTTCGTGGCCCCATAGGGAGCTCCACCGAAGACCCCGGTGCCACCGTCCGCATGCGTTCCGAAACGCCCACTTTTTGGCATTTTTACTCACCCAGTGCAGCGTTTCGTGGCTCCATAAGGGGGCTCAACCGAAGCCCACAGTGCCACCGTCCGCATGCTTCCCGAAACGCCCAATTTGGCATTTTCACACACGCAGTACAGAGTTTCGTGGCCCCACAGGGAGCCCCAGTGCCACCGTCCGCATGCGTGCCGAAACACCCAATTTGGCATGTACAGCGTTGCGTGGCCCCGTAGGGGGCTCCACCGAATCCCCCAGTGGGACCGCCCTCATGCGTCCCACACCCCATTTGGCATTTTCACAGCGTTCCATGGCCCCAAAGGGAGCTCCACCGAAGACCCCAGTGCCACCGTCTGCATGCGTCCAGAAACACCCAATTTGGCATTTTCACCCACCCAGTACAGCGTTTCGTGGCCCCATAGGGAGCTCCACCGAAGCCTCCTGTGGGACCGCCCTCATGCGTCCTACGCGCCCAATTTGGCATTTTCACCCACCCAGTACAGCGCTTCGTGGCCCCATAGGGAGCTCCACCGAGGCTCCCAGTGAGACCGCCCGCAGGCGTCCCACACACCCAATGTGGCATTTTCACTCACCCAGTGCAGCGTTTCGTGGCTCCATGGGGAGCTCAACCGAAGCCCCCAGTGCCACCGTCCGCATGTGTCCCGAAACGCCCACTTTGGCATTTTCACCCACCCAGTACAACGTTTCGTGGCTCCATGGGGAGCTCCACCACGGCCCCAGTGCTACCGCCTGCATGCGTTCCCCCCCACACAGTGCAGGTCTTTGTTGCCCCATAGGGAGCTTCACCGAAGCCCCGAGTGGGACCGCCCGCATGCGTCCCACACACCCGATTTGGCATTTTCACTCACCCAGTACAGCATTCCGTGGCCCCATACGGAGCTCCACCGACGGCCCCAGTGCTACCGCCCGCATGCGTCCCCTCCACCTTGTGCAGCGCTTCGTGGCCCCATAGGGAACTTCACCGAAGAAGACATTCACAATTGTGGTTCCCACAACTGCATGTCTTTGGGTTCTTCGCTCGGATATTTGTTTTGCCCCCTGATAGCGTTTCGCTAGGTCCCACAGGGGACGGTTAGCCCGAGATTGCCCTGTTCGGAAGCGGTCCGGTAGACGTTTCGCCTAAGACTTCCTGGTCATTCAATCAGGCACCGTGCACTCGTCTCAATTTCGGCTACATGTTTGGTCCAGACGGTCACGACCCACTTGTGAAGATATACTAGGTGCGTAGTATGGCCGTACTCGCACGCCCATCCCAGTTGCATATTTTCTTTCTCAGGGCTTCCTGGCTAGCCGTTGCTCGACCCGACTCTGCGCCTTTGCTGCGCTTTCTTGGGGTACTTTCCCAGACCTCCGACGTCGTGATTTTTTCACAACGTCAACCCCCAGAGGTCTGGAGCCCTTCACCAGGACCGGCTTTTCATCCTGAGTCGTTCTTTTACAGTCCCGGGGCCCGTAAGGATGTTGAAAATAGCGGAAAACCTCCCGCGGGCGATTTTTTCGCGACGCGAGGGGGTTTGGGTTTCCTGACCCCAGGGGGCCGGCGAACGCCCCCCTCCCCCCTTTCGGACGCCGAAGAAGCGAGGCACACGCCGCCGGGGACTGAACAGATCATGCCCGAGAGAGAAACAAGCACGGACCGTCGCCACCGTGAACCCACTGGGGTTAAGTCGGGCATGTCCCTCTACAGGAGGAGTCTTCAAAGTGAGTCAAAAAAGGGTCTGGGGGCGATTTTATATAACGGTAGTAGTTTGAACGCATTTTTCGACCATGTCTTTATTTTTTGTCCACAATAGGAGGACATGCCCGACCTAACGCTGGGGGGCCCGGCCCGGATCGCGCCGGCACGGCGGAGCGTGGCCTCGCAGTGGGTGACGCCCGGGCGTGCCACCGCTCAGCATCGGGTCCCCCACCCCCCCCGATGGTCGCAGGCGACGTTCCCCCCCCAGCCCCCCGGCGTTTCGACAAGAAATGAAGCGGCTAAGAAAAGGAGGGGGGCCCTGGGATGCACCCCCAGGGTCGGGCGAAGAGAACTATGCACATGCACCGATCCTGGCAAGGCCCATCCTTGACCCAGGATCGGTGCATATGCCTTCCTGGCCAAGGTAGGAGGGCGTATGCACCGATCCTGGGCTCAGGATGGGCCTGGCCAGAATCGGTGCATGTGCACAGTTCTTTTTCCTCTGCAGGGGGTCGCTCGGACGCACCCCTTTGGAGGATGGACGCCTGCCCCCTAGAAAATCCCAGGGTTGGGCCCCACAGCTCAGGTCCACTGGAAAACCTCCCAGAGCCTGCGATAGGGGTCGACAAATCCCCTGTCAGATGGGCTCTCGTTCGGATGTCGGGCCCCCCCATCCCCCCCGATGGGCTCTCCCCTGCCTTCTCCCCTGCCCTCGGCGGCGAGCGAGGGTGGGAAGTGAGGAGGAGGAGGAGGAGGAGGGAGGAGGAGGAGGAGGAGGAGGAGGAGGAGGAGGAGGAGGAGGAGGGGAGGAGGAGGAGAGAGAGAGGAGGAGGATCGAGGAGGAGGACGAGGAGGAGAAGCGAGGAAGAGGAGGAGAGAGGCGCGGACGAGGAAGGAGGGAGGAGGAGGAGGAGGAGGAGGAGGAGGAGGAGGAGGAGGAGGAGGAGGAGGAGGAGGAGGAGGAGGAGGAGGAGGAGGAGGAGGAGGAGGAGGAGGAGGAGGAGCGAGGAGCGAGGAGCGAGGAAGAGGAGCGAGGAGCGAGGAGCGAGGAGCGAGGAGCGAGGAGCGAGGAGCGAGGAGCGAGGAGGAGGTTCCGAAGCCCCTCGAAATGTGGAGCGAGAAGGGATCAGCGAGTGTTCTCTTCATGCTGGATATGATGCATTTTACGTGGGGGGCGGCGCCGCCACAGAGCAAGTACACTGTAAAGACATGCTCTGTTGCAGGGGATCAGGAAATATGGTGAGCATCCCCTGCCGCGCGCTTGCCCGCGCCGTGCGCACGTTACACAAATGCCTTCTGAGCCTTCCCCGAAGACACGAAAGACCTCTCAGAAGGCGCGATGGCTTCCGAGAAGTCCTGCCACCTTCTGAGAGTGCCTTCGTCTCCTCGTTTTCGGACGGAGCTAAGACGAGGATCAATCCGTTCAGAGCGTTCTCTAACGCTCTCAGAGCGTTCCGGAAGGATCTGATGAGGCCGCGGCGCCCCAGACATCCTCCAGAACCGCCGTATCTCGGTGATTCTCGATTTGTCCTCACCTGATCTTGTTCTCGTCCTGGCTTCGTCTCACATTTACCCCCTCGCTCGCCGCCGATGCATACCGTCGGAGGTCCTGAGGGGGAGAATGATGATGATGATGATGATGATGATGATGATGATGATGATGATGATGATGATGATGATGATGATGATGATGATGATGATGATGATGATGTGATGATGAGGAGGATGAGGAGGGAGGGATGAGGATGAGGAGGAGGAGGAAGGAGGAGGAGGAAGGAGGAGGAGAGGAGGAGGAAAGGAAGGAAGGGGAGGAAAAGGCAAAAAAACCGGGGCCCAAGTGGCGGCCAAGCCCAGAAAACAGGAGCCCGAAAAAGTCGATCGGCCCCATCGCTCGGCCGAGAACCAGCGGCTGCTGGACGGCCCGGCCCCGGCGCGGGAGCTGCCCGCCGATGGGCGCCCAGCGCCGCTGCGTGGCTGGGATGCCGCGCCCGACCTGGAGCCCCGGCGGGGTCCACTCTCCCAGACCCTCTCCTCCTCCTCCTCTCCTCCTCCTCCTCCTCCTCCTCCTCCTTTCTCCTCCTCCTCCTCCTCCTCCTCCTGCTCCTCCTCCTCCTCCCTCCCTCCTCCCCTCCTCCTCCTCCTCCTCCTCCTCCTCCTCCTCCTCCTCCTCCTCCTCCTCCTCCTCCTCCTCCTCCTCTCGGGTCACGAGAGAGTCTCGCGACGGGCAGTTTTCCACCATTTTCGGCCTCCGGGAGCCCTTGCCGGGCCTCGGGGCCGTGACGAAGCGGCACTGGACGAGAGACCGGTCCGGGGAAATGGGTCCAGACCTCTATGGGGGTCGACCTCACGAACAAATCTGGACGTCGGGGGTCTGGGCTTCGATGCGAACGAGGAGAGGTTCGAGTTTCCGGCTTTTCGAGTCTCGAGTTTCGAAGTTTCCTGGCGTCTGCGTCGGTTCCGGGAGGCTCTCCTGCCTCGGGATGCGTCCCGGCAGCTGCGCCCTGCCG